GGAGCCATAGATGCCATGCAAATCTGCTTCCCTATAGATTAATTCACGTGCAAGGCATCGGCGGAACACATGGCGAACGCCGTTGCTCGTGACGGTCAAGCTGTTATAATTCACCGGTTCTCTCCTGGAAATTTAGTCTTCATTCATGTCCACAGCTGTTTGATTTTAAGCAAGTACTTATTTCGCCTTTCTATGGGTGTAACCGGCTGCCTTCATTGCAAACAATTGTAATATACTTTCCCTCACAGTTTTATTGGCCAAGTTGATGGTTTTTGATTTGCATATTCCTTCCGCTTGTGCCCTTCCCCTCCGCGACATTTGTTAATCGTTCGTCTATCCTGTCTGTATTAAGCTTGAACAGAAGAAAATAGCTGCGGTTGAGCTGCAAGGAAAGTTTGACAAATTAGAAGCAGCTCATGGAAGATTAAAACACGAACGTGAAACCATGGAGGACGAAATCTCCAGACTCAGAATTCAGAAACGGGCCTTCAGTCGTGATCTAGAAACCCTTACAGAAAAAATTCGCCTATTAGAGCAGGAGAGGGAGAGCTTACTCCACAAACTAAATTAGTAAGTTAACAGTATAGATTTTGGAATAATTTTCTGCTATAAGGTTTTGCTAGTAATCTCATTTAAAAAGGTTTTTATTTCGCCTCATAAATCCTAGTTTGTTTGACATGAAAATCAGGATAACTCTGAAGATTCAGTTCTTCAGTGGTTTGCAATGAGCAGTCGGGATTAAGCGGCGCACGCATGAATAAGTTTAATGACTAAGTAGTCTGTAGATAAGTATACGTATTCGAGGAAAGTAAGACACCAGCAGTAAAATATTAAGTAAAAACTGCATAATAATTCATTGGATTAAAGCTAGTGAGTTTCGCTTTCTGACATCAAGTGGCTGTAATAGACTACCACCCACACGACATGTGGAAATTAATAACGCTTGACTCTCTGAATGTTCAACGTATTTAAAGCAGTATGCGTCTGTTGTTGATTTATTTTCCAAAAAATTGTCAATTCCGCTTTCAGTTATTTTTTTAAGACTCTGCAGATGTGCACTCGAAAAGCCTCTTATTCTTAAAAATATTATTATAAATGATCAGTAAATTATTTGAGTATAATGTACAGTCACTAAATTTACAAGAACTATCCACATTTTTTGCAGTCAACAGGAATCTACCTGGCCGGAACTTTCTGGGGCCCCCGTCTCGTCGACACCTCCAGATGTGACCTCTGCCGCTTAAACCACTCATCCGGATGTTTTTTCTTGCCCTCTTTGTCCTACAGAATAAACAAAACTTCTTACGGCCTAGTGCCTATGTTTGACTTATTTTTACTTAACTAAGTAACAAGTACTTTCAGCCCAGTCATCCATTCCTTGTCTTATTGCTTT